TCCTCCTCCTCCTAATCATCATCATCATCAATTCCTTGTTCTTCATCATGATGAAAAAACGTCGATATAGTCATATTATCTCAAACATTCAGGACATTGAAATCACAACAACCTTGAAACAAGATGCCAGAGTGCTTCACTCTCGAGAATTTTCGACAGCCCATGACACAGGCTCCATCTGTTCACAACATCTCAGATTCACTTCAATCTATCATGATGACAACTTGTGCCATTTGTTCATCGAACTTGAATGTCTTCGCATCGCCTGACAGAGTAACGTGAGCTGGAAAGGTTTGTTCTATTCTTTCTACCTCAAACAACGTTCTGATTCCTCCGAACACGAAACAATTCTGAGCATCACAGCTGTTGCTCTTGAAACGAAGCTTCTGCTGATGGCTCTGTCGACAAGGAGCTTTCTCGACGTTTCCATCCCTCGCTCCTCCATGAGTGACAACAAAAATCTGATCCGTCCAGTACAAGATGACTCTCACCTGAGTCAAGACATCAAGAATGGAACTATCTCAAAGGAAAGACAAGACGAGCAAACACAAGAAGAAGCAGAGAAGCATATCAAAGAGAACGAGATGATGAGAATGGAACGAGTTGGGACAGGCATAACTCACAAGGGATCCAATGCATGCCATGGTGCAAACATCGTGATGAGAGCTTGTCTCGACTTCTTCTGCTCTCTCCAGAGATTGCGAAGTGCGATGATCGTGACAGTTTCTTGTCGAGATGTCTTTCCCCAAATCCTTCTTGCTCTCTGACATCACCAATTTCATGGCCGAAGAGCTCGGAACGTGCATCATGTTTCGACAGCTAGGTGCATCAGGTCTGTTGGAGTTGTCGATAGACAAGAAGAGGGCGTTTGACATGTTCTTGATGATGATGAACATCTGTTTCGTCACTTGCTCGCTCCCTGCACTATCAACTGAGCGCAAACTTCCTCTTACCACTTGCCCTTCACCTGATTCGAGTTTGCAGCTGAGGTTTGCAAGCAAGGAAATCTGACATTTCAAGTTAAAATATCGGCGGATGATGGTGAGATACGATTGAAACATGTACAAGTATATCACATCCCTCGCTACACCACATCTCTTCTAACACAAACTCTCTGTCACAATCATTATCATGATGATTAAACCGATCGAGATTCTTAATCACCATCATCTTCATCTCCATCATCATCCCCGAAGCAATCATCTCAATCCTTACCGAGATCGATCTTCTCAAAGGGCTCGAGGCTCCCAGCTTGTCATTCAGGCAGATCTCGTTGATTGACAACTCACTCTGCACGTCTCGTCAGCGTAGCAACATGACCGCTGTCTTCGTCAGACCTGTTCGACCGCAACATGCTGCACACAAGAAACATCTGTCAGCATTCTGATCCACTCCCAACGTTTGCCGATGTCAACACAGGATGTTGGCAGCAGCATCAAGATCGCATGAATGGCATCGACGACATTCAGCACACTCACTCCGCCTCCAAGTCGAACTTTGTCGAACCCTTGCAGAGCAAGTCGAATGCATTCTTCGCATTTGTGCAGAGAATCTCTGTTCAAGAAGCTGCTATCACCCGACTGATGGGTTCTCTGTAAGAAAAGCGCCATCGCCACCCTCATGGCAGGAAACAGCGCCATCCTCAGACCAGCAGGGAGCTCTTGCCAGCTAACTCGAATCCCCTTGGTAAGATGCAGAGCGTTCTTCAAGTCAGCCTCGCTGCAGGGTGCTGCTGATGTTGGGCCATCGTCCATCAGCCCGCACACGTCTAGAGGGCCCTCCTCCTCAATCGTGAAGAGACCGCAATGATCTGCTCCCAAGTCTCTGTCGCGACATCTTCTGTGGAGCCAGGGTGCTCCTGCTTCGGCCAACACCACCATCACTGCAAAAGAGTCATGCTTGCAGCAAGTCATACACATGAGCTCTTTGCGTATTGAATCACAATAAGACATCTACTTCAAACCCCCCCCATTCATCGTCGATAATCTTCAAGGGGACACCAGCGAAGTTTTCCCCACTGACTTATCTCTCACAATGACCTGCAGCTTCCCATCTCCCTTATCTCTTGTTCCGTCACTTAACCTCTATCTCTACCTCCACTGCCTCCTTCCCTCCTTCTCTTCTCCTCCCTTCCTCCCCTTCCTCCTCCTCGCCCCCCCCCCGCCCCCCCCTCAATCTCCCAGGGATGGGGTACTTCTGACGGGTGGTAAACCCCGAGGAATATCGTAAAGGGGGGAGGGCCTCCCAACTTGGCCGAGGGGAGTGGGTGCGGCCTTGTCCAGTGGCCTCCCGCTCCCGCTCCTGCTCCTGCTCCTGCTCCTGCTCCTGCTCCCGCTCCTGCTCCCGCTCCCGCTCCCGCTCCTGCTCCTGCTCCTGCTCCCGCTCCTGCTCCTGCTCCTGCTCCTGATCCCGCTCCCGCTCCCGCTCCTGCTCCTGCTCCTGCTCCTGCTCCTGATCCTGCTCCTGATCCCGCTCCCGCTCCCGCTCCCGCTCCCGCTCCTGCTCCTGCTCCTGCTCCTGCTCCTGCTCCTGCTCCTGCTCCTGCTCCTGCTCCTGCTCCCGCTCCTGCTCCTGCTCCTCTTCCTGCTCCTGCTCCTGCTCCTGCTCCTGATCCCGCTCCCGCTCCCGCTCCCGCTCCTGATCCTGCTCCTGCTCCTGATCCTGATCCTGATCCTGCTCCTGATCCTGCACCTGCCCCTGCCCCTGCCCCTGCCCCTGCTCCTATTCTTGCTCCTGATCCTGCTGTTCCTGGTCCTGCTCCTCCTTCAAGTTTCGCTGCCCCTGCCCTCGCCCTCGCCCTCGCCCTCGCCCTTTCGCCCCTGTCCCTGCTCCTGCCCCTCTTCTGCTCCTGTCCCACTCCAAGGCTGGTCTGCTTGAGTCGGATTCCGATCAGGGTCGGATGTCCTCTCCGCTGTATCCCCAGTCCTCTCCTCGTCCCTCCTTACAGCATGACATTGGGCTAATCTCGGGCTGATCTGCAGGATTGGCATCACAAACGGGCAGTGGTGGACCGTTGGCAGTGCTGGCGGGCCTGCAGGAACTACATCGCTCTCCTCTCCAAGCTGGTGAGTAGCGGAGAAAGTGCTCTACCTCTATTCCTTTCCTGTCCTCCTCTGCCTCTATTCCTTTCCTGTCCTCCGCTGCATCTATTCCTTTCCTGTCCTCCTCTGCCTCTATTCCTCTCCTGTCCTCTTCTGCCTCTATTCCTTTCCTGTCATTTCCTCCCCTTTCTTCCTTCTACCCTCCTCTTTGCCTCTTGTTCACCGTCACCTCCTACCTCCCCGGAGTGTTCTTCCCTCCCTTGCTCTCCGTAAGATTGAGGGTAGCAAGGGGGCTGATCGGGTGAGCAGGTGGAATCATTCGAGGAACAAGCACGAGTGGCAGGCGCAGCTAGCGTCAGCATCCCGGATCAACTTCGCTGACGACAGAGACAGTCATCGAGATGGTATCGCTCTCTGAAGCCTCTCGAGCATCCCCAACCCTCTCTCCCCCCTTTCTCTCCTCCTTCAACGGCACTTGGCAGTGTTGAATGAAAATCTTTGATGTGGCTCGGTGATGGGGCAATCATGACGGACGAAGCAGCGATCCGGTCTCAACCCTCTTATGATCCTTCACTTTACACAAGTTCCCGCACCTATCCTACTCATCGTCCTTAAACTTCATCCTCTTGGCTCGTTTGCTGTCAGCCTGTGCCGAGTATCCTTCGAACTCGTAGTCAATCCCCGCCTGTATCAACGTCATAAGCTGACCCACAAGGTGAGGCACCACCTTCTCCAGCTGCTTCCTTTTCAGACTCTCTTTCTTCTTAAGCTTCTTCACTCTTTTCACTTCCTGCAAGGGAGACAGGAGTTGAGCAGGCTGGAAGGGCCCAGGAGCTTCGCTTACCTGCTCTCTTGTCCTCTTCTGATGCGTCTGCTCGATCGCCTTTGCCTACTTGCGAGCTCAGTGGAGGGAAGATCAAAGGATATCCACGGGCGGCACCTTGAAGTTTGCCGGCTTGAAAACCTTGTTTGCGCCTCTCCACAGGGCGGGATGGAGCTGAGAAGATGACGTCACCACAGACGGCATCTCTACTTCATTACAATCACCTTGTTCGGGGGGACAACAGCACAACGAATCGCTCTGTCCATGAGCAGCATCTTGTCATGAGTCGTGGCCACGATCTCGGCGACCTGTGGGGAATGTCACGTCGGTAACATGAGGGTGTAAGTAAGTTAGTTGCCTCTGGATGCTCGAACTCAATGAAGGCATAATGCTTCGACTTTCCCGTCTGTTGCAACAGGATCACTTGCGAGCGGCTGAGTACAAGGCGAGAGAGGGGAGGACAGAAAGATTGAGGAGAACAAAAGCACGCTAGGGGAGGAGTGGGAGACAAGGTGAGAAAGAAGACTGAGAGCATCGTCTGCTTCACCTTCTTGTTGCGTGACACTCTTATCCTGCTGATCTCGCCGAACTGCGAGAAATACCCCCTCATCTCATCCTCAAAGAACCCGTAAGGGATGCGTCCGACGTAGACGACGCTGCTCTTGGTGGGATCTGCAGTGACTGCATGCCCAACTTCAGCTGACAAGGAGTAACAAGGAGCGTGCAAGACCGTTGAGCTTGTCGATTCCTTGCAACTTTGATTTGAGCTTCTTCTCCTGAACTTTGTCCAACTTCACGACAAGTCGTTGAGATTTGAAGCCATCTCCCTCCCCTTCGCTCTCTTCGCTCTCTTCAGCGTCTTCTCCTGCTGAGCCCATGAGCTCTTCCAGATCAATCTTGTCCAGGGCATCGTCCCCTGAGTTTTCCTAGGCGTATGAGTAAGAGGTCTCAGTACTTCTTCAGCGTTCAAAACCTCCTTTTCCTCCTTCTTGGGATTCTTTGCCAACTTCTTCGCGCTCAGCTTCTTCTTGTTCTCGATCGCAATCTCGTTTGAGGCCCTCCGAGCCACTCTACACGAAACATCACACCATGGCAAGTTGGAACATACAATGTCTCTCACTTCTTCGCTGACTTCCTCTTGGCAGCTTTGGTCTCCACCATGATCTGCACATATGTCAAAGATTCATCCCATCACATGTCCCCTGTAGCTTGTGCTGATCTAGTTCCACTTCCCTCTCCTTTCCTTCCTTTCCTCCACTTTCCTTAATTACGCCTTCTCCTCAGTTTCTGCCGGCACTCCCCAGGCATGTTCAGAGAAAACCTTAGCCTTTCTCAACCTCATTGTGATTTTTCTCCCCTGCCATTGACATGACTTCTATTTTCATCACCATTTACCTAGTCTCAGCCTCCTCTCGTGCTTATAGTCATTGTCCTCGCCTTCACGTCGTCCTCTACCACAACCAGACTCCTCTACACCATACCATCCCCTTCTCTCCTGCCCCACCCCCTTCCTCTTTCTCTTCATACCATTCTCCTAATATCCTTCTTCGTCTGCCTCATCCTGTTCTTCCTACACCTATATCACTCCTCCTGCCTCTGCTCCTGCTCCTCGTACTCCGCTTCCCATCGTCCATTTCCATTCTACATCGCACGTGAAGCTTTGGTAGTGATACCCTCACACCCGCTCAGGCCCGCACCGTCTCAGTCACTCAGGTTGACGTTGAAACAGGCTTCGGAACTGATCAAACCGGGCCCCGGCGGCGGGCGGCGGCCCGGCGGCTGGACCGTTCTGAGAACTTTGAAAGGTGGACCGGGGCCGGGGCGCGGCCGCCGCGCCGTGAGCCAGAGTCACGTCCCCGGACCCGGCGGACGCCGGCCGTCCTCCAGGCTCACCGATCGCCGGGACGGCGCCGTGACGGCGCCGTGACGGTGCCGGCGGGCAAACTGACGGAGGCTTCAACTTGCCAAGTTGAACGGCCGCGGCCGGGCCGCGCCGCGCCGGCGGCCCCGGCGGAGCCGCCCCCCGCCGGGCCCACTGGCACTGAGGCTGCGGCACTGTGACTGCACTGGCGCCGGCCGCCGGGCGGCCGGGCACGCCGGCCCGGCGTACGCCGGCCCGGGTCGGCGGCCAGTAGTCCGATCACCAGCGGTACGGTACGGTACTGACTACCGTTCCGAGTGGCCTACCGTACCGGCGGCCACCCGGGGCCCGCCGGATCGGCCCGTCACGGTTTTTTCCGAGTCTTCCGAAGCCTTGAAGTTCTCGCCGGCGCCGTTTGGCCAGTAGTGCGACAGTGTCAGGGCCCCGGTCACTTTGGCAGTAACGTGACTGCCAGGGTCCGATCAAGCTGAGCCTCCGAGGCTCCGTGCTCCTCGACTCTCCTCAGTGATAAATGCTCGTAAACTTAACTTGGAGTAAAGCAGTCACTGAGTCAGCGACCGTGGCTGATGAGGGGCCTTTACTTCATCACCCTGACCGGGTCTTGTCTCTCCGAGCCCGGCCCTTCAGTCTTCCCCGGCCCGGAGTTCCAACCAGTCGGGTCGGAGAAGGCCCGAGAACGCGGAAGCGGAGTTAACCGCAAAAACGTAGCTAAAAATAAATCTGACTAGATGGTAAAGAACACTCAAACGCATCGTTTCGCACTCGGAGTTCTCATTGCTGACAAGTTGCTGACATTGTCTCCCCTCTTGCCGTCAATCAAGAAACCTGCCGACCTCGACATGCTCTCAATCGCCTCCCCCTCCCTCCCCCCGTCGGCCCCTCCCCTCCTGCTACTTCTATCCTCCTCTCGCATTCACTCTTTTGCCCCCCATCAAGACCTTGTCTCTTCCTCTTCCTTCCACATCTTCTTCGAGCATGTGCCATCACATTCCCCTTTCCCCCGCCCACTCTGTGGACGATGCGGTTGCCGACCTTGCCATGTCCAGCACCGGTCTCCTCGACTCGTTTGTAGCATATCTGAGGAACGAGGAGACATTGGAGCTGTCCATCGACAGCGCTGACAGTATGCATCAAGCCGACTCTTCTCAGACCACCCCTCATTCACACCTCTTGCTCCTTCCAGCGGGTCTCTCATATAGCGACTCACAGTCATCAACGGAGCCGATCCACATGGATGAGGACGTCGAAGGCCCTTGTTCATATGCACGTTCGCTGCTAGACTCAACAGTGTCGTCTCCATCCACGCACCTCAGCGCTCCTCAGTCCAACTCCTCCTGCGGGTCTTTCTCCCAGCACCAGCCCTGCCCTCCTCCTTCGGACGTGTACAGCCAGCCAAGGAAGTCGCAGGACGAGCTGAAGAACTACTGCCGGCAGCTGGAGAAGGCGATCTTCAACTCCAGCCAGTGGTCACCAGAGGAGGAGGCGAAGTTCCTAGAGGCCCTCGCCATGTTCGCAGATACCGACCGGCGGGTGCGACCGGACGGGAGGAGGTCGGTGGGACTTGGAATGGGAGTAGCGGGGAAGATTTCAGAGTACATTGGGACGAGATCAGAAGAGCAAGTTCGGTCGCACGCGCAGAAGCACTTCTTGCGGCAGGAGGGAAAGGGTTCGAGATAAGCCAAGGTTGATGTGCGACCAGGTATGCTCATGCCCCCCTGACTCAAGTAACGCGTTAGGTTGGCACACGTTCTGTTTTTCTTTTTGATTACCTATTGTGGTCAGCTAATGAAACTTGCATTCAATGCCCGTTCTCCTCTTGATTCTTCAAAAATCCTGGACATTCGACAACTTACACGCGGCAACTAGGAATCCAGCACAGCGTTCATCCTCATTTTCAAGTGCCATTGTTGAGTCCGACACCTCAATCCTTCTCCCAATCCTCTTTCCCATCCTTCTGAACGTTCTCCTCCTCGCACCCTCAAAGAAAAGTTCAACAAGGAAGATAAGACCACCAGGTCGAGAGCCTCGGCTCGTTTCAATTCTCAACACTTTATCAGATACCATTCTACCATTTCATCCTTAAAATACAAACTCCGACCGCATTGCTCTCATCACCTTGCCCACGTGTTGTGCTGTGCAAGTCCCAGCTCTGAAGCCAGCCCCCACGCCCGAAACGCTCCCCTGCGTGTGCGACGAATCTGGTCAGTCTCCCTCACCTCCTACCATTCCGCCTCCCTCCTGACCGTTGCTCGTTGTAGATGAAGCAGTAAGCGTCTATTACCGATGCGTTGCTGCCCTGCGGCTAAGTACGTGTCAAACGTCTCCTCCTCTCAAGGCTCTCGGCGTCTACCATGGCGCAGACATGCCCGTACTCGCACACCCACACCTCCTCTTCGTCCGTCATTCGCTTGCCCAGGCCCCCTGCAGGCGCCAGCACCTGGTCATTGCTTGGAGCGACTCTGGGGCAACTCACCTGTGATGTAGCTGGGGAAATAAGCTGGCGAGGTGAGAGTCGTCAAGCTCATTATCAACGATGAATTGCCAGGAGACTTGGAGGGAGCAAGATGGCTCGGATGTGGAAGTAGAGCTGGAAGTAGAGCTGAAAGTAGAGCTGTAAGGATCTGGGCAAAATGTCTCTACGGTGCAGCGGTCGAGGCCTGAGTCTAGCACAGTGAAGGAAGGCCAGTAAGGGTCAGAGCAGTTGAGATCGTTTGCATTGAGTCTGAGATCTGCAAGGTTCGTGAGCTGAGTGAAGGCGTTCGAGGAGACACAGGTGAGCAGGTTGTTGCTGAGGTCAAGCCGAGTCAAGGTGGACAACCCGCGTAAATCGCCCGCTGAAATCTTGGTCAGCTGATTTCTGTAGAGGTAGAGAGAGTGCAAGCTTGACAGCGGAGAGAAAACGCCCGTCGAGATGTCAATGAGTCGGTTCGACTCGAGATAAAGGGAGTCTAACCTCGACAGACCGTTGAAGACACCTTCTGTAAGACTCGACAGACTATTCCAGGCTAAATCAAGAGTAGTCAAGGCCGACAGCCTTGCAAAGATGTCCGTCTGCAAGCAGGTATCATCAATACCTCTCAACGTCAAGGTTTTCAGTCGCGACATATTCCTCACGCTGTCTTGAAAGATTGGCAAAAAGTCTTTTGGCAGATCGTTGTAAACATCAAAGCGTGTCAGGCGTTCCAACAACGACATGAAATCCTGTTCCTGGTAAACAATCGCCAGAGCACTAGCATCGATAGTGAGGTGGTCCAGGTTTGAAAGCACGTCAAATACACTAGCAGACAAGCTTGATATCCGATTTCTTTGAAGGTCGAGAGTCTGCAAACCTGACAGCCCGTTGAAAACCCCGTTCGGTAGAGTGGAAATTTGATTGTAGGAAAGCATGAGATTCCGCAAGCTCGAAAGCCCAATGAACATGTCCTCATACAAGAATTCATCGTCAACTACTTCCATCCTCAATCCCGTCACTCTCGTCATGTTGCTGAAGATTCCTGATGGAAGCTGCCTCACAGATTGATAAGGGTTGTTGTATACATTCAGGTTGTGAATGTTGTTGAGTACTGAGATGTCATTCTGAAACACGCTCACCAGCGCAATGGCATCTATGTATATCTCACTTAGATTCGGCAGCCCTTGAAACACACTCGCAGATAGATTGGTGATGTGGTTCCTTCGAAGATTGATTGTGCGCAAGCTTTTGAGCCCAGCAAACACGCCACCATCAACCTCGATCACTAGTAGCCTAGTACGGCGGCGGCGGGCACTGGGGCCGGGGTCCTCACTCACGGTCAGCCGGCAGGCTGCCGCAGTCACTGAGTGCAGTGCGGGGCGCAGCCGCCGCGCCGCGGCCTGCGGCTGGCCCCCGTTCGCGGGCCGCGGCCCGGGCACCCGGCCGCCGCCGGGGTGACGGTCCGGGACCGTCATTGGGCCGGACTCCGATCCGGGGACTCACTGAGGCCTCAGGCTCCCGGACTCAGTCCGCCCGGCCCGGCCCGGCTTGAAAGGCTGACCGGCACGGTGAGTCACGGTCATGCCGTCACGCCGCCGAGCTTGGCAGCCTCAGTGGGGGAATAACTTTACTCAACCGTTGACGTGACCGTGAAGGCTGATCGGGCTCGAGTCGGGGACTCCCCCAGTTGCTACTGAGCCGATGCGGCAGTGACGGTATGGCCGTCGGGGTGATCTATTCCACCGATGTACGGGTACTTTGTCCCTTGATAGAACCGGTCCTCATAGACTCAGTACTATGACTGAGGTGGGTGGTCATCGTGTTTGTTTGAGGTTTTTGGTATGAGCTAAACCTCACGTGCATTAGTGGTCCCAACAAGTACCCTTACTCCTTTTTAACTACCCTAAAATTAGAGTCAAAATATAGGGTACTAGGGTGGATTAGAAGTACCCCTACCCCCTGACTTGCTCAAGATCCTGTTGTGTATGCCGGCATCCTCCATCCTCCGCTCTCCCTGGCTCTGCCGTGCCTGCAGCAGCAGCGCAACTTTGTGATGCAGCACAGCTCTTTCTACTCCCTCCCTCTTCTCCTCTCGCTTCCTTCCTTGTCGTTGTGCTCCTGCTCCCTCGCCGACACCTTCCCCTCCTCCACTTTTGGGGCCGTGCGCGTGGTTGCTGTTTGTTTCCTGCACTACGTCATCGCAGCCTCTTGCTTCCTGCTCGCCACCTCTTCTCGTCTCTCATCCTCTTAGCGAACTCACACCAGAGTCCTCTCCCCCTGCTACACCCGCCGTCTTGTCTTCTCTGCCATGTTTGTGCTACTTTGAAAACTTCGAAGTAGCCTCGGCCTCCTTATACCGGCACTCCTACCCTCCACGTCCTCCTTATCAAAGCTATCTTACTCATTTCTTCCTCTCTACATCATCTCTCGATCGTGATTTATCTCCACTGCTCATCACGGTCAACTGATTTCCAGGGATTTTTCCTTTGTGCGCTCTTTGCAATCATTTTCTCTTGTCTCCGCATGAAGTCTTTCTTGTCGTCCCGTTCACTGAGGCTCTTAGAGCCGTCTCGTTGTTTTCTGCGGTCAAAGACTTGAATCGCTTCCTCTGCTGCTCCTGCGCTTTCTCTGATATCTCACACTGCTGAACAGGTGCCGGTGGGATAATGGCTCTCCAATCAAACGTTCGATGCAATGGGTTCTGGTACGAGGAGCAAGTGACAGAGGAGCTTCTGCTCAAGATGTCCTTGACAAAGATCAACTTCGACGCTGTCTCTCCCTTCCAGAGGGTTCAGATCGTCTCCACCGTGCCCTTTGGTAAGACCCTTGTCCTCGACGACCACACGCAGAGCTCGCAGACGGACGAGCACATCTACCATGAGTCGCTCGTGCACCCTGCGATCCTCGCGCATGGCAGCCCGAAGACGGTGTTCATCGGGGGAGGAGGAGAGGGAGCGACGGCCCGGGAGGTTCTGCGCTTCAAGTCGGTCGAGCGGGTCGTGATGTGCGACTTGGACGAGATCGCCTGTAAGATGTGTAGGGAGCATCTTCCCGAGTGGAACAAGGGCGTGTACGAGGACAAGAGGTTTGAGATCCACTACAAGGACGCCATGGCCTTCCTGCAGGAGTGGGACGGGCCCAAGTTCGACGTGATCATTATGGACATCTCGGACCCCATCGAGTGCGGGCCAGGGATCGGGCTCTACTTCAAAGAGTTCTATGAAGATATCGCAAGGTAAGAGGCCGGGAGCAGGAAAAGGGAGGAAGATGGAAGAAGAAGAGGAGGGTGGGTAAGGGAGGGAGGGAGGGAGGGAGGGAGGGAGGGAGGGAGGGAGGGAGGGAGGGAGGGAGGGAGGGAGGGAGGGGGAGGAAGGAGGGAGGAGG